AGAGCTGGGTTTTCACTTTGTTGAATGGATCTTTTTCCTTGCACTAATTAGCTCTCCATCTTGTGAACATGGCTGGGCAAAGACGGTCACTCCCCTCAGACACAGACTCTGCTTAAACTTTCCCAAAAGATCAGGCTCCCCCCGGCTTCCTCTTGAAGCCAACAAGTTCTCAACAACCTCTTTGTTGATGCTTTTCTGTAAAATTTTTGTCTGAGCTTGTTCTAGGAAACATTCCAGATCCACTCCCCTAAGAGACTTTTCTAGTTTCAGCATGCACGATGTTCAGAACAAGATCTCAGATCTCTCCAAATCCTTCCTTCGTGAAATAATAGATGAGAGCATGTAAATTTTTTTACACGGCCGTCAAGTTTGGTGCAAAGGCATGAGTTTACTTTGGTGTACACACACTATTTATTCTGCAAATTTGTGCTATTAAATTTGTCAAGAAGTAAATGTGAGAGAATTTTACAATGAACACACGTTTTTCTAGCCTTTAAATTCTGCCGTTAGCATTTTACTGTGTAGGTAACTTCCCTTTCTGAAAGTTCTTTTTATGCCTGTTTGCTTTCACGAAAAATCTACAGTAGTGCCTGTTTTCCTTGACCAAAAGAATTCCCAAGAGGATTTTTGCTTCTTAAGGGGGAGAAAATGTAAAAAATGAAAGTAGTGTTCAGCGTATATTTTGCCACATGAGCTTTGGTAGTGTAGTCTGTAGGGAAATGTGCACTAAAAGATGGAGTCTTTCTGCCAATTCAAATCTATCAATATCTCCTCTCTCCCAATTTATAGCCTTGGAAAACATGCTGGAAGCTCAGTTATGAGTTTTACTTAGGCATATTCCATTCTGGGCAAAATTCCTCTTTTTTCAGTGGGCCTGTGAGATAGAAAACACAAGTTATCTAATTCTGTAATACAAGTAGTGGTAAACAGGCACAAATCAGCATTTCCACAGAGTCCTTGTCCTTTACCCCCCAATAGTTGGGCTAATTGTCAATTTTCCTTCACCTTCATATATATAGTGCTTTCTTTCCTGTAAAGGGGAGAGTGAATTTAAACTTAAGAGTGATGCTCTTAAGACTGAGGTACCCTGGAGTTGATTTTAAGTCATACCGACCCTTTGGGACAGAACAGAACAGCTCCACAGGGCTTCTAGGCTGTAATCTTTATGGAAGCAGATTTCCCATAGAGGCAAAGGGTAAGTTTGACCCACCAGCCTTTATATTAACAGCTGAGTGCCTAAACATTATTCATGTTGCTGTCAAGTTGAGTACAACTCAAGTCAACATAACATATAAACCAGTCTGAACCCTATCCTAAACCACTGAGTGCCACACACAAGCCTCTTACTGCAAACACCATGTCAGCCCACCTGATTGAAGGTCTTCTTCTCTTTCACTGCGCCTCTTCCTTTCTAAGTATGATATCCCTCTCCAAGGAATAACCTCTCCTAGCAACATGCCCAAAGTATGTGAGATGAAGCTTCATCATCTTTGTCCAAGTTGCACCTTTTCCAAGACATAGCTATTTGTTCTTTTGGCAGTCCATGTGATCTTCAGCACTTTTCTCCAACACCATAGTTCCAGGGCATCAATTCTTTTTCTGTCATCCTTAGTCATGGTCCAGGCTCTCAGACACATAGCAAATACAGTGCCATTATTAATACTGTTCTTAAGTCAGTGTTAATACTGATCAAGAGGATCATATTTATGTGTGTGTGTGTGTGTGTGTGTGTGTGTGTGTGTGTGTGTGTGTGTGTTTATTACAGTGCAAAGACCAGATTTCTTTGTGGCTATGAAAAATATTTCTAAAATCTCAAATATGTATATTAAATTTGTCTACTTTGAAAAGTTACAATTTAAGACTTTATCATTAACTAGCTTTACTCAGTCTTTACTATCTGCCTGGCTTCCTTAGGATTTTGGATTTGCAACTCCTAAAATAGACCATAATACAGCAAACTGACAGACAAGTGCTGTACCACTTAGAACAAGGTTCTCCACACACACAATTAACACCAAGCCAGAGGGCTGCAGGCCCAAGAACCCAACTGACTTTTTATTTACTTTTTATTTCTTGTTGTGTACCAACAAATTGGATCTGACTGGCACAGGAGGTGGTGGCCCCTCCTTTTCCAGCAGAGCGTCTGCCAACTGACTTTTAAAGCTAGAGGCCTGCCCACAAGTTCCTGATTGCTTAAAGAAAAGGCTTCCAGCCCACAGTTAATTGTTAACGTGGTGCAGGATAGAGCAGGGTTCAGGTATTTTGTTCATAGGGCCCCTGTGAGTTGTACTTGACATAACAGTACCTAACAATAGCAACAAAATAGACCACAGTCTTAGTTGTCTAGTGTTGCTTTAACAGAAATGCTACAAGTAAATGGCTTTAACAAACAGAATTTCTTTCCTCACAGTTTAGAAAGCTGGACAATTCAGGGAGAGAAGTCTTTCTCTCTTGTTCTACTCTGTAGGAAGACTCTTTTTAGCTTCTGCTTCCTAGTTCCTTGGAGATGTTCATGTAGTTTGTCATTTTTCTTACTCCATCTCTGCTTCCCTAGTGTGCTTCCCTATACTAATACTGCCTCATTAGCAAAACAAAAACCATCCATGCCCAAATGAGAATATTACCTAAGCACAGAGATCAGAATTTACAACATCTGTTTCTAGGGAACACAAATCAATGCCTAACATTCCACCCTTCAAAAACTCCAAATGCATGTCCTGCTGCATGCAATACACATTGACCAGATCATGTAATCCAAAAAGTCTAAGTCCACTCTAAGCCCAAAATTTCATCTTCTGAATTGTTGTTGTTGTTGTTGTTAAGTGCCATCGAGTTGCAGGCGACTCATAGCGACCCTATGAAGGAGAGTCCTCAATGCTTGGGTGTCTTTCATCCTCTCTCCTAACTCAAATATGAGTGAAATTTTGGCCGCTCCTTGGAGGCAAGGATTCTGAAGCTTCATCTGACATACTTTGGACATATTGCAAGGCAGGTTCCATCCTTGGAGGAGGACATCATACTTGGGAGGATGGAGGGACAGCACAGGAGAGGAAGACTCTCGATGAGATGGACTGATTCAGTCACTAGGATAATGGGGGTAGGTATGTCGGGGACAATAAGCTTGGCAAGGGATAGAGCAGGGTTTAGGGCTGTTGTACGTAGGGTCACTGTGAGTCACAGGCAACTCGATGGCACAAAACAACAAAAACAACAACCCTAAATTAAAACTCCTCTTCATATGACTACAAGTTATCTCTAGAATACAATAGTGGAAGAGGCCCAAAGTAGACATTTCCATTATAAATGGGAGGCATTACAGGGAAATAAGTAATGGACACTAAGCAAGTAAAATTATATAGCTCTCAAGGCTTGAAAATAATCTTCTGTTCTCTGAGACTATCTGGACAACTGCCCTATCCTGTAGACTCTAGGTATTGGACACTTTTTCTGCATTAAGGGTTAAAGCCCCTTGGCTTAACTAATTAAACCTTTAGCTTAATGACCCAGCCTCTTCAGCATGAGAGTTCATCCTGTGAGGCAACCCCATTCTTCCTAGTCCGTGTGAATGATGAACCTACCATCTAACCCCAGCAAACCACTTCTTTAGCTTACTTGGCATGGCAGCCCTGCCTCCTCAACACCATCATCAAGTTGGTGAAGAGTCAGCTCTTTGAAGTCAATGAGAATGTGGCTCTATGCTTTGAAACAGATGGCTCTGTTTCCCATGCCCCTTTCAATGCGTCTGATCTGCAAGCTGCTCAGGAATGAGCACTTTTGTTTCCTGAAGGAAAAATATATAAAGCTAAAATATACACAGACAGTATTCTTTCCTTTTGTTCTTTCTATGTTCCCTTCAGTTGAAACTAAGGCATGTAGAGGGATAATTAGTTAGATTCTTCACACATGCTTCACTTCTTTAACTAAAAATTATGTAGCCACTCATCCTTGGGTGAACTTTCTAGGATGTATATCCTTGGTTTGTACCATGGAATTTCAAAATTTCTCAAGTTCTGTTTTCATTTTGTGGAGTTAATTTTTAAGTCCATTTCTTCCTTCTCAAATTTTACTAAGAAGCAAAGAGAAACCCGATAGCCCTCTAAGATCTTGCTCCAAAATCTCCTCAGCCAGATAGTCAAGTTCATCACAAGTTCTACCTTCCACAAAAAATTTTAACATAATTCAGACAACTTCTTTGCCACTGTATAAAAAGCATTTGACATCAACATTGCTGGTACCATATGTATTCTCTATGACTTACGAAGACCTTCTCTACAGTTCTAGACACCTTCAGATTCTTCTAGCTTCTACTTATTACCCAGTTCTAAAACCATTTCCACATTCTGTTTACCTGTGAGAGTAGCAACGCACTGCTGGTGCTAAGTTCTGTTTTCATTACCTGGTTACAAGTTAACAGAAATAGCACAAACTTTAACAAACAGAAATTCGTTTTCTTCCAGTTTAGGGGACTTAAAGTCCAAAGTCAAAGACCATCTCTCTCAGTCAACTCTAAAGGACATCCATGACTCTTCAGCTTCTCTTTCTTGATTGCATGGAAATCTCCATGTGTCTTCACTTCTATCATTCCCCATCTCTGCTTATGTCACTTGCTGGTTTGATCTCTATTTTATATATCAAAAGGTTATTGACTCAGGATACACCCTACACTACTCATGTCTTATTAACATAGCAATGGTGTCCTGTTCCCACATGGGATAGATTACAGCCATAGGCATAGATTAGGATTTACAAAATTTCTTTTGAGGAGGACATAATTCAATCTAAAACAAACACTTAAACAGATAAATTATGTTTCAGGACTGCATAAAATGGGGGATTATTTAGATACACAAAAGAATCTAATTTCATGTCCTTTTATTGAATAAGAAAAACACTCCAACAATAATAATACTTCATTTAAAATACTTCTAATGTTATAAAACATTGAGACTTAAAAATTTGTTTCACTTTCTCACATTCTATAATTTTGCTTTTAATTCCAGGATTGTAAGTGGAAAATGTATATGGAGATGGATGGGGATGAAATTGCAATAACCTACATAAAAGATGTGACATTCAACACTAACCTACCTGATGCAGAGGTTTTAAAGATGACAAAGGTAGGGTTCTATTTACGGCTTAAAAGCTTTTTTTGAATTCGCAGATATCAAACAAAGACATTAAAATACCCCAGCAGTGTGCTTTTGTGCTTGTCGTTGCTCACATCAGCTCAGCCTCAAGCTGGCTGTTGAAAGGCATATTTTATTTAGCAGGTTGAAATCACAATAGTTTTTTGTTAAAATTCTACTTACGCTGTGTGAGTTACAAAGCACTGAGGAAAAAAATAATATCGTTTAGGTTTTTTTTTTATTTTCTTCTACATTTCTTGATGTTTATTTGGTCATTCATTAGAGGAAAGAAATGATAGAGATAGAACTATTTACCTCCAACTTTGGATCATTTTAAACTTTAAAAACTTTCAACGATGGTTTTCTTGGTTGTGTCCAATCTCTTGAAAGACTGAATGAGATTATTCAAGAGTCATATGTGGAACAATTGATGACCTCACTGAGTTCACACCTAAGGATTCCTAGAGTGGGCAGAAAAAGAGGCAGGTTAGAGTCGATGCAGAAGTGTGTAAGAACACTGAAGAAAGGCCAGTAGACATGCTAGCTTGTTTCTCGAAAAGGAAAAATTTCCATTCTGTTCCAGTCACACTGAAATACTTGCATATGAGCCTTTGTGCAAGGTCCAACAACCCCAGTAAAGAAGCATGAAGCCAGTAGGACAGTCACACTAATCCTCACATAAGCTATTAACTCTAGTGCACTATTAGCTGTGTATTTGATTTCACTGAAGGAAATTAGTCTTGTGCCAAAGAAGAGCCGGGGCATAAGTAGGAAAGTGGCAAGATTCTGCTAACCCACAGCATTAGACTTGTAAATATGTTCTCTCACAGCCTAACACCACTTTATAAGTGGATTCATCAAGTACGTGGATTTGGTACCCTTGATTGAGTTCTTCTGTATAACTGGGAGTTTTCTAACAGCATTATTTATTTGTAAAGGTTATTATTTGGCTTTAACTTTCCCTTATGTCCTTGGAAAATATTGATTTTTATACCATTTTTACTGGAAATATATTTTCTCTTTCCTCCCAACCTATGACGTCTCTATTTGCAGCAGCTATTCTTTGCTGCAATGCCCAAGTTATTGCTTGTTCAAAGCAGGTAATTACCCATGGCAAAAAACAATAGGGTAAGGCTTATAAGACTAAATGCATGTGTTTCTTCTGTAAAATCAAATACTTTCCTGTGAGACGGTATCTGCTTCCAAACCACACACCAAATTTAAGGTGGGCAACAGGGTTGAGGAAGACCAATCAAAATCTATAGACTCTTTAACTATACCTACCACTCATAGAAACAGCAACAATTCTAATTTTAAAAATAAATGCATAACCTGGTTAAATCTCTACTATATTTCCTTCATAGTCTTATTTGGAGGGACAGAGAATGTCTATGTGAGAGTAGAGACTCATTTCTAATCGATACCATTTTCATAAAAATTAAATACATAATTCAAAGTAGAAGCATCTTCATTAATCCCGGGAAAAGGTCTCCATGGCTTCTTCAGTTGCATTCAAAGCCTCACCAGATAATATAATAGAAAGCAGAATGACCACTGAAGCCATGAGACTGACCTCCATATGCCCTCAGGGAAGGTCTTCTTGTATGGTTAGAGTTTTCTCTTCATGGTGAGAAGGCTTTCTGCTAGCATGTTTGAGAGTAATCAGATGTGAGCCAACCTCATTTTATGTGTGATAATCTGGCTTTATTTCCCTATTTACCAATCTTGAATTGGGCAACTGACCTTAAAGAAATTCATATTCTAAAAGACACTGTTTAATGGCACTGCACCATCCTCACTTTTGTTTTTCAGCCCCCCTTTGTAATGGAGAAATGGATTGTAGGAATAGCAGACAATCAGACTGTAGAGTGCACTGTCACATATGAGGTAAGTTCTGGGGAAAGGAGGCTGGTGGCTTCACTGACAATCTCTCTCTCTGTAGGCACTTGTTTGCTCTTTCAGAGAGTTAGGAACTTAATGAGATTGAGGTTATTTCAGCAACCAAAAAATGGGAAGATAAATATAAAAACATACTGTTTTGAGAAAATCTACTGATGAGGACCTCTTTAAAATGCTGAAGAGCAAAGATGTCAGCGTAAGGACTAAGGTGAAGCTGATCCAGGCCATAGAATTTTCAATTGTTTCTTATGCATCTGAACGGTAGACAGTGAACAAGAAAGAATGATGCATAATTGATGCCTCTGAATTGTGGTGTTGGAGAAAAGTATAGAATATACCATGGACTTTCAAGAGAATAAATAAGCCTGTCTTCAAGCAATTAGAACCAGGATATTCCTTAGAGGCAAGAGTGGTAAAATCTTAAATGTGTTAGGGCATGTTGTCAGAAGGGCCTTATAAAAAGACGTAACACTTAGAAAAGTAGAGGGTTAGTGAAAGAGAATGACTTTAATCAGATGCATTGACATGGTGACAACGGGCTTGAGCATGGAAAGGACAGTGCAGGATGGGGCAAGGTGTTCATCTGTGGTTCATTGGGTCATAGCTGACTTGAAGGCCCCTACCATAAGTGCTGGTAAGGAAGGAGAACAGGCTATATATAACCTAGATAGAGATGCTTCAATAGTTATTGGTTGAGCATCTTCCATAAGCCATGAATGCATTGGGTACCAGAGGGACCAAACAGTGAGCAAGTGAGATCTTTGCCTTCCTGGAACTTAGAGTTTAGAGCTGAGAATAGATTCATTGATCCAACAGGATGCAGTTCAATCCCACTACTGCCTGAAGTATTATTAAAAGCAAATTCTAATGTTAGAATACTTTTATATGGAAAAATAGAAGTTCTATCCTTTTTTTAAAAATCTATAAAATGAAAATATATCCATCTAGCCAACTAATTTCAGAAATTGCTTTAGATAAGGTATACCTAGGATATGCAAGGTCTGTACTTTCTTGAAGGAACCCTACTGGCACAGTGACTAGGCCAAAAATCAAAAAATACTCCAGCAGTTACTGATTTTCACTCCTGGGTCCCATCTCGCCTCTGCATCTTTTCTTCTTCACCTTCCAGGAGGGTCAGCAGTCCCCTCACCCCCAAGCTGCCCACATCACACAGCTATTCTGATGATCAAAGACAGTCTCGGACAAAATGGTTTTCAGAGTTTTATTTGTTCAATAATGTATCTGTTTTCAAGTACTATAGACAGAAGAAATCATTTGCTTTTCATGTCTTAGTAAGAAGAGATATATAATGAGGTTTTGCCACATATAATACATTCTGGGAGAATGCAATCACATTTGTAGCTGCTGGGAATGCTATAATCCAATAAAATGGTTAGAATTTTCCTTTTAATAAAATTAGTATAATTGGACCAACTGTATAGAATATGTTACCTAATAGTCATTTGTCAGGAGGCACATTAAGCTCCTTTCCCACTTTTTAAACATCTGACCATGGGTTTCCTTTTACACCAGAGTGATGTTAGAACTCCGAAGAGCACCAAACACGTCCACTGGATTCAGTGGGGCAAAGCAAAACCTCAGGACGAAGTGAAGGCGGTTCAGCTAGCCATTCAGACGTTATTCTCCAACTCTGAGGGCAACACAGGAAGCAGATCCAACTCAAGTAAGTTGCTGCTCAAGTATTACATGTGCAATGGATTCCAAAAAGTAAATATTAAATTAAGTACAAATGCCAGACTCTGAAAAAAAACATAGAACTATAATATGCTTTTGCCTGCTATTTTTAAGATATTATTCAAATTTATCCACAAACCAATAAAACCAGAAGTGAAGAGATTGAGGGAGTCTACTAATCTCTGTTGTCTAAATGTGATCAAAGATGCAAACATGATGTATTGATAATTACTAGATATTGGAATGCAAAAGTTGGAAACAAAGGATTGGTAGTTGCAAAGTGTGGCCTTGATGATAGAAATGAGGCAAGAAATCATATAAAAGATGTAGTACAATTAATGACTTACTGTAAATAATATTTTTAAAAAAACATAAAAGGCAACTATATATTTGAACCTTGCCAAATGGAATACACAAGAATCAAATCAACTGCATCTGTGGAAAGAGATGATGGAAAAGCTCACTATCATCGGTCAGAACAAGGTCAGGAGTTAACTATAGAGCAGAACATCAGTTGTTCTTTATGCAAGTTCAAGTTGAAGATCAAGAAAACTAAAACAACTTTATGAGGGCCAAAAATACAACCTTGAGTATATCTCACCTGAATTTGGAGACCATCTCAAAGAATAGATTTGATGCATTGAATATTAATGACAAAAAAAAAAGACCAGACAAATTGTGGCATTAAGTAAAAGATGTTATTACATGAAGAAAGCAAACATTTAAAAGGGGGGAAAAAAGAGGGGAAAGAAATAGACTAAAATGGATGCTACAGAGACTGAAATTTGGTCTAGAATGTAGGCAAACTACAGCTATAGGAAGAAATGAGGAGGAGAACTAAGAAGACTTCAAGGAATGGATGGATTTAAAAAAATCTGGATTACTGAAAACAGAAGTATCAGAATGAAATGATGATACATTGTGAAAAGTGTAACCATATCACTAAAAAAAAATATTTGTATCCTAAAACCCAAAAACTTCACTGCCTGCCAATTTGATTCTGATCCAATTATAAGGGTACTAATTGCTTTATAGTGTTCTCAAGGTTATCAGTCTTTATAGAGTCAGACTGCCAAATCTTTCTCCTGTGAAATAGCTGGTGAGTTTGAACTGTTATCCTTGTGGCTATCATTTGAACACTTTAACTGTGCCACTAGGGCTAGCTCCAGGAATTGATGGAATACCAATTGAAATGTTTCATCAAATAGATACAACACTAGAGGTGTTCACTTGTTTATATTAAGTAATTGGTAAGATAGTCACCGGGCCAACTGACTGAAAGAAATAGCCATCTCTGTTCATTCCCAACAAAGGGCATCTAACAAAATGTATAAAGTATAAAACAATACATTATTATTACATGCAAGAAAATCTTGTTGAAAGTAATTTTTAAAATATTGGAAAATGTGTCAGCAGAGTGCTACCAGAAATTCAAACTGGATTCAAAAAAGAATGTAGAATGAAAGTTATCATTGTTGATGTCAGCTAGATCCTGGCTAAAAACCATAATTATCAGAAATATGTTTACTTTTGTTTTTATTGGCATGCAGAGGCTGAAGGGGGGAATCTGATGGCTTAGTGGTAAGACATAGCTCTGTCAGTCCAAAAGCACAAGGTTTAAATTCACCAGCTACTCGGTCGACAAAAGATGTGCAGTCTCCTCCTGTGTGACTTAGTGCCTCTGAGAACCCTGTGGAGAAGCAGCTATGAGTCAACTCCAACTTGACCATACATAACAACAATACTAACACACAGAGGCTGAAGGAATCTATGGGCAAAATCTTGAATGATACAGGGAGCATCAAAAGAAGATAGAAATAACCCACAGAATTACTGTACCAAAAAGAATTGATCAACATAAAACTATTTAAGGGAGTAGCTTAAGATGAATAATCAATAGTACTAAAGGAAGGAATCCGAGCTGCACTGGAGGCATTGGCAAAAAAAAAAAAAAAAAGGACCCTAGGATTTGATGGAATACCCGTTGAAGTGTTTCTGGAAAGGGCGCAAACTTGGACGTGCTCTCCAGTCTGCACCAACAAATATGGAAGACAGTCGCCTGGCAACTGACTGAAGAGATCCCTATTGTTCTAACTTCCCCCCCAAAAAAGGTGATACAACAGACTGGAAGTTATTAAACAATGTCATGAATATCACAAGCAAGTAAAATCTTGCTGAAGATTATCTAAAAACATAGCAGGAACAGTAAATCTACAGGGAACTTCCAGAAATTGAAGCTGGATTTAAAAGACTATGAGACAAAGAATATTATTGTTGATATCAGATGAATCTTGGCTGAAGGCACAGAGTACTAGAAAGATATTTACTTGTGTTTTATTGATTATGCAATGGCATTGACTATATGGTTAATAATCAATTATGATTCATACTGAGAAGAATGGGAATCCCAAAACACTTAATTGTGCTCATGCAAAACTTATGCATAGACCAAGAAGCAGTTGTCCTAATAGAACAAGGGAACACTGCATGCTTTAAAATCAGAAAATGGTGTGTCAAAGCTGTATCCTTTCTCCATAGCTATTCAATCTATATGCTGAACAAATCATTCAAGAAGCTGGACTCTGTGAAGAAGAATATGACCTCAAGATTGGAGGAAGACCCATCAACAACCTGAGATATGTAGATGATACAAATTTGCTTAAAGAAAATAAAGATAACATGACGCATTTACTGCAGAAGATCAAAGATGTCACCTTCAATATGGGCTACATCTCAGCATCAAGAAGACAAAAATTCTCACCATTGAACCACTAAACAACATCATGATAAATGGAGAAAAGACTGAGATTGTCAATGATTTCATTTTTCTTAGATCTACAGTCAACACTCGTGGTAACAGCAGTCAGGAAATGTATCATAGAGCTATTCCTAACAAGATAATGGGCAGACAACTAGTAGGTGTCCATTTCTCTTAAATAGAAATCTTTTCAGGAGTTAGTATAGTAGTCTTTTCTCTACCAATATAAAAAGAAATAATCACTATCCTTCTGTCTCTCACTAGAATTGCTCTAGATAGACTTTTTTCTTCTGTTTATTAATTGCAGAATGAAGTATTGGCTTGTCTTTGGCTTATTCCAGTTTTAGCTAGTTTGCCTGCCTGCCTTCCTCCTTGCATTTCTTTTTCCTACATGATATGAAGAATGAGAGGATACTGCCTAGATTAATTAAGAAAGGTCTTTCAGCTGCAGAGAAAAGAAATCCTAACTCCAACTGATATACTCTGGTGCTCTCAGAGTATGCTTCCTAGTCTAGCAGTGTCAGGATTTACCTGGTGGAGTGCAGAATTACTTCATCAGAAGCTCTGAGGATGAGGACCAGCAAGCTGCATTTTAGTAAGCCTTTCGAGTGATTCAGAAGTACCAAAGCATTTAGCTCAGACAATAATGGAATTTATTATTTTCTGTACCAATAAATCTAGAAGGAGGGCAGGTTCAGATGCAGACGATGGGGCTGCTCAAACATGTAAAGGTTTTTTAACAAATGTCACTGTGTTTCCACTCTGCCATTCTCAGCATTTTGGCTTGGCTTTTTTCATGTTTATAGTCCTTACCTAAAGATGGGACAATGCCCTGGTGAATTAGGGCTTAGTTCCCTCCCTATTCTCATATTTATGAGGGAGGAAAACTCACCTATAAACCCTCAGAGACTTCCTCCTGATGCTTTGGCCAGAAATGAACAATCTGTCCATGACTAAGCATGACATCATCATGCCTGGCTTTAACAAGCCGAGGTCTTCTTCCCCTTTGCTAGACTGGGACCAGCTCCCCACACACATAGGACTGCATTGAAGGATTGATACTCAAAGAAAAGTGGGGCTCTGGTTTTTCTGAAAAAGTATAGAAAGGATAGATTTTAAGGTGGCCAGAAAATTCTCACATGCAAAGGCTCAGGTTGTTGTTGTCGTGTGCCTTCGAATCACCTGCTACCCATAGCAACCGTTATGTACAAACAGCTCTGAACCCTGCCCTATCATGAGCTAGTAGTCTCACTGACTCTAACACATCTACTCCCATTACTCCAGTTACTGTGTCAGTTCATCTCATCCGGGGTCTTCCTCTTCTGTGCTGTCCCTCCAACCTTCTAACCATGATACCCTTCTCCAAGGACTATTCCCTCCTGGCCAAGGGCCCAAAGTTTGTGAGACAGAGTTTCAAAATCCTTGCCTCCAAGGAGCAGCCTGGTTTCACCTTCTCCAGGAAAGATCTGTATGTTCTTTTAGAAGTCCACGGTATATTCAATATTTTTCTCCAGCACCCCAACTCAATGGCATCTATTCTTTTTCTGTCATCCTTAGCTATTGTCCAGCTCGCTGAAGGTTTCCATATTTTCCATAGGAAGAAAGACAGTGGGAAGGAAGAAAAAGAGTTAGGTAAAATTATTGTTCTGTGCCATCAAGTTGGAACCAACTCATAGCTGACCCTCCAGCAGATTTTCAGAGGCTATAAATTAATTACATGAAAGGAGACTGAGCAATTGGTGGGTTTGAACTATGTGCCTTTGGATTGGCAGTGCAACTCCTTACCCATTAGGCCACCTGAGCTCCCTTAGATAAAATTAAAGCAAGCTAAATGATGTGAATAATTCTTCTCAAAGGCCTGAAGATTCTAGGATCTAGAGAGTTTGCACACTATATATTCTCAAAAGTCTTAAGGTAATCTTTTTTCTCCAATTTTATGGCAATTCTGAAGATTGTTTCTCTCCATCTCAGCCTTACATTTGAGGTTATACGCATACAGACACACACACTTCTCTCTCTCTTACACACAGAGTTGACACACTCACACACTAACCCTTCCCTACCTTCCCCACTAACCCTTCCCTACCTTCCCCCCGCCCCCACTTGGTAGTGAGTGGAGAAAGGAAGCTGTGCTAATATCCTTGTTAAGGAGTCCTTGGGAAACAGGACTTTATTTAAGCAATTAACTTCTGATAAGCTGGTCAGATCTACTCAGACAGGCCTGGCGATCTGCTTCCTAAAGTCAGAACCTTAAAAATCCTATGGAATGTATACCCTGCACACATGGGGTTAGGGTCGCCATGAGCTGAAATCAACTTGAGGGCAACTAACAATATCATAGGGAGGTGTGGTTGCCTAGTGGTGAGACACTGCGCTGCAATCCTAAAAGTAGGCAGTTGGAATCTGGCCACCACTGCTCTGCAGGAGAAAGATGGGTATTCTTCTCTTATGCAATTTACTGCCTCTGAAAACCCACTGGAGAGTTAGCTATGAGTCAGATCTGACTCAACAGCATACAACAATAACAACTATTTTATGCACTCTAGTGGTACTTTCATAGGAGGGTTTAGGCCTGATAGCCTAAAGGCACACCTCTCTTAGAGATTCAGATCCACCAGCAGCTCTGCAGGAGAAAGACGGGCAGTCTCCTCCAGTAGGACTTACAGCCTCAGAAAGCTCTCTGGAGGGTCAGCTGTGAATCAGCTCCAACTCAAAGGACAATGAGAATGAAAATTAAACAACTTGATATGTTCCGATACATTGGTGATAAGATCTGAACATGGCAGAAGTCTCAAAAGGAAGAGGTGAAGGAAGGAAGAGGCATTGCTTTTAACCAGTGCCTGGTCTCCCACCCAGTCAGCTTTACGTGACCACCCTATATAGTCACTCCTGCCTGGGCTCCCCTACCCCCTTCTCTCCTTTGTTGAAAATTAAAGGATGAGTGAGGAAAGGGGAAGATGATACAGAAGGAAACAAAATGCAGGGAGACAGACAGATGGAAACCAGTGTCCCAGAAGAAAAGTTAACCCTGGAGAGAAGCAGAGAAACCATGTATCAAATTGGAGTGAAAACTTTAAAATTAGAAGTCAGGTTGGAAAGTTCACACTGGGGTGGGAACTTGAGGGCATCCTAGGCTTTAGTTATTTTCTAAGGGAGTCCATAGAAAGTTACATTGCTAACCAAAGGTGGTGCCTTTTAATGATTCGAATCCATCAGCTGCTCGTGGGAGAAAGATGGGCACTCTCTTCCCATGTGATTTACTGCCTTTCAAAACCTGCTGGAGGTTCAGCTCCGAGTTGGATGGCAATGATTTTGCCATATTTTGTAGAAATGGAAAAGAAAGTAACTTTGACATTGATATCAAAAGTACCGTGTAACTTAACCAAGTTTTTTTGTCAGTGGTTGATGCTGGAGCAGTCAGTGTATGTGGTATTTATTACTGGCGTTTTTCCATTTGCTTATTTTCATGGTGTGAACATGTCGTCAGCTTCCTGCGATGTGGGTAGTATGTATACTTTTATGGAGACAGGAGTGAAGAGCAAGCAGGTCAGCTTTGACAGAGTTCACCTGCATCTACTAAGATGCTTAAACTGCCAATGAAATAAGTTGTTCTCTCTTCCAACCTATGAGAAATGTACTAAGCATTTCATGAGCTAGCTCTTAGTCAATGTAAATTAATGCCCTGTAATAAGGTGGCAAAATAAGACCAAGGGCAAACTCACAAAAGAACTCATCTAGAGAGACTAGATTTAAGGTACTTCATCAAGTATGCCGAATCTCTCTGCCCAACATCCCCCAAGAGTATCTGAACAAGTAGCGATTGGTTAGGGAACATGTAGAATCAGCAGACATGGTAACCAGGTATCTCAGGTGCCCAGCACTACTATGTCAGAAATGCCACAAGTAGGTGCCCTTTTTAAGAACAGGATTTTATTTTCTCTCCATTCAGAGGACTGGAGACATTGGATTGGAGGCCCTTCCTTGATGACTGGGAGTTCCTTGACTTTTCTTAGTGCCTGCCTTCCTCTCCAAGTGCCTCTATCATCTGTATGAGATTGAAAAGGGAACAGTAGTTTCTATAGCAAAGATGGGAACTGTAAGGGACAGGATATGGGTTACAGGTGGTGAAGCATAGGGACAGAGATAGGATGATGACACCATTGGAGGAATGTAACCATTGCCAAGGAACAGTACATCTAAATATTGCCAAATGGCCATATGTTTTGTTGTGTATATTTTTACATGTGCATAAAAAATTTTCCTTGTCACCCAAACATCTGTTCCTCATCCACTCCTCTTCAGAATGTGCATAAAAAAAAAGCAAAAGCAGTATTATGTAGTTCAAGCTCAAACAAAAAATAAAAAAAATAATGCTGTGAAGATTGAAATAATAATAAAGGAAGCATCCTTATATTTCATTTTAGAACATCTACAAATGGTAACATTTAGAACATTGCGAACGGCTTTGGCTCTTGAATCAGGCGTGTAGCTTCACTGTTGCTTAAACGATGCCCATTTCCATTCCTGCCGCAGGTGCGGACTGCCAGTGGCTGGACATTCTGAGGATGCGCCAGATCGCGTCCAACACGGCGCTGCAGCGCTCGCAGAGCAACCCGATCCTGGGCTCCCCGTTCTTCGCCTTCCTGGAGAACCAGGATTCCTACGCAGCCGCCGTGCAGCGGCGCCCCCAGCAGCCCAGCAAGCTGCAGCAGATCACGCCCATCAATCAGTCCCGCAGCTCCTCGCCCACGCAGTATGCCCTGACCAAGAACTTCTCCTCCCTCCACCTCAACTCCAAGGACAGTGGCTTTTCCAGTCTCAATATGGACAGCTCTTCTGAGAGGGGTCGGTACGCAGCGCGAAGCAGGGACAAGTGTGACCGTGGGAGTGTCTCACTCAATTCATCCCCGAGAGGAAGATACTGTGGGAAAAGCCAGCATTCCACGCCTTCCCGGGAAAGATACTTCAGGGTTCCGCAGTCTGCACTGCATGCTCGCCAGTCACCTGACCTCAAGCGGAAACCCAGTGATCACCAGCCCAGGACAATCCCCGGGATGCCTTTGCACACAGAGACAAGGGCCAGTGAGGAAGAGAGTAAAGTTAGTGATGGGTGGATTCAAGTGGAATACCGAAAGAAACCCCACAGGCCCTCTCCTACCAAGACTAACAAAGAGAGAGCCCGAGGGAACTACCGCGGGCGGAGAACCTTTTAATGAAGTGGAACTGCTAGTTCTATGTTCTAAGCGGGTTTCCCTTCCCTCCATGTTTCCCTTTATTTTTCTTTTTTAAGCCAACGTTATGGGTTCTGATAATGTGGTGCCTTTGGATAGAATGAACCAAAAAACAAACCGAAAAATCCTGCTGCACTTTTCGTATTTGGGAAAAACTTTCTAATTTGAGGCTACAGCCAAAGCAGGACCAAAGTAATGGATAGTATTGCACTAAGCTTTGTTCTCGCTTAGAAAGTGCCCAGTGATGATAGCGAACGTAACTATGCACGTTTCTCCTTCCCCTGAATATGAATGTGTTCAGAGAGGAGCATAAGCCATGTTTTCACCCTAACAGTCCGCAGTTGTGGTGACAAAGCTGCAACTTGGTGGTGAGGGTGTGAGGGAGGCACTCCTCCCCAAGACAGATTTTAAGGTAAATAATACTTTAATGGGAATATTTTCATATTTTTAATTTAAAATTTTTAATGAAAATTAATGCAAAAGATTCACGATGTTCATTGTGATGTTAGAAGATATTCACTATGATGAGATACACACACACACACACACACACACACACACACACACACACACACACACATCTTAACAAGGGAGGAAGAAGTACAGTCTCCTCCTATGAGGTTTCCTGCCTCTGAAAACCCTGTGGAGGGTCAGCTATGAATTGGTTCTGACTCCACAGTGCCTAACAACAATATATATCTCAAAATTCTAAAATTCATCCTCAGTATTACCGATTTTTCCTTTTGCTTCAGTCCAATATGGTTTTGGTAAGGTACAGTTACTGTTTGTCTTACAAGTGCTGCTGTAACACAGATGCTGTAAGTGGGTGACTTTCAAGAGCATTTCCTTCCTCAGAGCTCAGAAGGCTGAAAGGCCCAGTTCAGGGCACCAGCTCTGGAGGAAGAGCCTTGTGTGAGCTTCTGCAGGTCTTGTGTTCCTGGGATCTTCCATGATCATGACAAGGCATCTCTCTTCCCCCTTGTTTATGATTGTTTGTTTCTGTGTCTGTTGATCTTTTTGTTATTTGGAAGTGATGGGGTTGAGGACCCACCCTACCCACCATGGTCTCATTATTAACACAGCAGCAGATGAAATTATGGAAGATAAGTACCCTGCGTTACATCCACAGGTAATGGAAGTTCAACAGCACGTTTTTGTTGTTGTTAGGTGGTGTCAAGTCAACTACAACTCCTAATGAGTCCGTGAACAGAATCCAAACGTCACCCTCTCCTGTGCCAGCCTCACAATCTCTACCATATTCGAACCAACTGATACAGCCGCTGTGTCCATCCATCCTCTCTTCCAATGACACTCTCCGCCTTTCCCAGCATGGTGTCATTTTCCAAGGACTGGCCCCTCCTTTCAACATGGGGACACAGTTTAGTCCTTAACATTGTCTTCATTTATTTTGCTCATTATGGAATTTTTTTATTTACTTCTCATTTTTAAAATATTGTAATAAGATATTATTTATCTTAATTTTGGGACTTTTGTTGTTCTTATTGTATGTGCTCTTGAACCTAAACCAACTGATAGCCTATCCTCCAGTAAGTTTTCAAAGGCTATAAATGGGACAAGAGGAGATTGTCCATCATTCTCCCATGGGGAAGCTGGTGAATTTGAATACCTTTGAGTTGGCAGTGTGACAGCTAGCCAGTGGGCCATCAGAGCTCCCTTTGAGGTATTAGGACCCCTTTTAATGTTGTACCACTTGCCTCACCCTGTGGGTTAGTATTTATTTCAAAGTGCTGTTTGTGACTATATCATGGTCATTGCTGAACTAAATTGGTGTATTACCTTTGGGTAGTAATAAAGATTTATGAACTTAATGTTGATTATGATATGTGTCTTATCCCTTGAAATTATCAGAAACCAAAGGTAAAAATGTCCTAAGAGGCCATTAGTCGCTTCTTCGAAGCACCCAGGGACTTTTTAAATTTATGTTCTACTTCTTACCAGAGGAACAGAGAACAAAAAACAAACCATCCACACTGGTCTCTTGAGATGTCAGAAATCTAAAAAGAAACAGACACAGCACAGGATAATAATGACGTCACAAACTAAAAGTCAGAGAAATTTAAAATTACCAACATCCTTGTTAGAACAAGACAGTAAAATACCAGCCTTGCAGCAAAAGAGAGCTATAAGCAGCTGGGGGTAAAGAAGTGAAATAGTAGAGGTGGGAGGAAACTGCCTATAGGCTACTGCAGGATTTGTGGAATCCAGCTTCTGAAATGAGTGTTGCTTTACAAATAGAAAATTCTGGTGGCAGCAAACTTAACTATCTATCAATCAGACCATCATATTCATCATATTGAGATTCTGATCAGAGTTAATTAGCCCTGAATATTAAGTGTCCTCTGCCCTGCATTGGATTCTCAAGCTCTACAGCCATGGAAATGACTCACTGATAATTCTGTGGGATTGAATTCTCTTTTAATAGAAACCAATCATCAGAGTCCACGCATGTGTTCCCAGAGAAGCTGCTCTGCCCAATGCTTGGGGCCTGGAGTGGAAAATCGTGCTATAGACTGGATAACACAGTATAAAACTATCTGAGTAGCAGTAATGTCAAGGTTATACGAAATTACCTTAATGTACCAAGGAAGTTGTCATGGCCTAAACATCAATGCTGCAACTTGATTTTACCCACCTCTTATTGATGGAATAAAATAGGTAATGTATACTCACCTACCATGGTGAAGCAACTTTTCCAAAGTTTACGATCCACTGTGATGCTTTTTAACGAAACTTGAATCAACCAGTCTGTTTTCAGTTGTTCTTCTTGTCCTGTGTTTATGCAAAAGTGGTCTGATTCACAGTATGCTGTCTTAATAATATCTTGCTTCCAAGTAAGCAATAAAATATTTTCTTTGATTAGAATGTTTGGATGAGAAGCTAAACACAGAATTTGATTTAATCCCTCTGTAATGAACACAAAGTGTGGCTTTAATTATTCAACCAAATGTGCGTTCTGAGGAATTATTGAAGACTCAAGTACAAAATATGTGAGGTGAATATGCTGCTTTTGTTTTTTCCCCATCTTGCCTTCTTGGACAATGGCCTAGAGAAGCAAGATAGTGGTACAATGACTTGGTGACCTCAGCCCTAGTTAGCCCATAGAATTGACCGTTTTGTAATATCTTGTGGAAAAATAACTTGCCAACATCACTGGGACTGCTCTCAGTCAAAATCAAAATAAGGACATCTGGAGTCTGCTGCTTGATTGCAAAGAAATAATAAGAGTTGGATGTTATTTCTGACTTTCCCGCCCACTTCTGATGCTTACTCACCAAAAGTTACTTGCCAGGTTGAAAGAAGAGTCTAAAAGTCAAGATCAAGAGAGTAACTAGATTTATTTTTTTCAGCACATCAATATAAAATAGTTTCTGGAGGACAACTACCTGGACAAGTAACTGGAAGAGATCTATATTTATTCCCTTTTAAAGAAAAAACTGACCCAACAGAATGTAAAAATTTTTGAACAATATAATGAATATCATATACTAGCAAGATCCTGCTGAAGAGTATAAAAAATAACTGAAACAGTACATCAGCAGAGAACTGCAAAATGTGCAAGCTGGGCTTAGAAGAGGCCATGGTACTAGGGACTTTATAGCCAATGTTAGTTAGATGGATCTTGGCTGAAAGCAGAGAGTACCAGAAGAATGTCTGTGTTTCATTTACTATGTATAGGCATTTGACTGAATAGATCAGAACAAATTGTGGCTACCTTTGAGGAGAATGGGAATCCCAGAACATTTAATAGTGCTCATGTGAAACCTAAACTTGACCGGGAAGCAGTCATCAAAACAGAGTAAGAAACACTGTGTGATTCAAAATCAGGAAAGGAGTGCATCAGGGATGCATCCTATCTGCATATCTTTTCAACCTGTTGTGGAACAGATCATCTGGGAGCTGAGACTTTATGAGGATGGATGTGGCATCAGGACTGGAGGAACAATCTACATTATACAGATGACACAACCTTGCTTGCTGAAACTGAAGAGGACCTGAAGCATTTGCTGCAGGAGGTCAAGGACTGCAGTTTTCAATATGGACTAAAGCTCAACATCAAGAAAACAAAGATTCTTACCACTAGGCCAACTGGCAGCATCATGACAGACAGAGTAGAGATTGGGATTGTTAATGATTTCAGCTTGCTTGGTTCCACAATCAACACCCCTGGCACTAACAGTCAGGAAATCAAAAGATTAACTGCATTGGGAAAAATCTGATGCCAGGGACCTCTCTAGAGTCCTGAAGAGCAATGATGCAAGTCTAGTGACTAAGGTGTACTTGATCAAGGCCATGGTCTTTGCAATTACTTGATATTGAATCAGAGACCTAGACACTGACTCAGGATAACAAAACAAGAATTGATGCCTTTGAGTTGTGCTGGAGAAGAGTCTTGAACATACCATGGACCGCCAAGAGAATGAACAAATCTGTCCTAGACAGGATGAAACTAAGCTGGTCCATGGAGGGAAGGATTGTGGAACTCCATCTGACATAACTTAGGGCATATGGCCAGGAGGGACCAGTCCTTGGAGCAGAACACCACGCCTGGAAGGGTAGAGGGACTGGGCAGGAGAGGAAGACCCAAGATGAGATGGTTTGACACAGTGGCTGGAGTAATAGAGTTAAATGTCAGAGATGTGAGACTGGGTCAGGGCAGAAGGTCAACAACATAAGTAGTATCAATCCTGGAACATGTCAAATGAAATGTTAAACTTTAGAGTATTTTTGGTCACACTGATAATGGGATAGTGTTCCTAAATATACGTAAGAGGTAGAGATTTCTCAGGGAAAAAAAAAATATAAAATAGTTGCCAACAGTGGAGGCAAGGATTTTGAGGCTCTGTCTCACATACTTTGGGCACATGGCCTGGAGGTTCCAGTCCTTGGAAAAGGACATCATGGTCAGAAGTGGGAAGGACAGGGAAGGAGCAGAAGACCCTGGATGAGATGGATTGACACAGTGACTGGAGAAGAGCAGCAATGTCAGTCTGGAGACTA